AGTCCTGGGACCAAGCAATGGTCATATGGAAACTAAAATACATGAAAAAAGGGTTGCAGGATTTCAATTTGACTAGTCAAGAGAAAAGAAAGATTAGGGGAAACATGATAGCAGTATTCCAGTATTTAAGAGCTTGCCACAAAGAGGGGGGGGGGGGCAACTTATTTTCCAAAGAGGGCAGGACAAGAAACAATGGATGGAAACTAATCAAGGAGAGAAGCAACCTTGGAAGTAAGGATAAATTCCTAACAGGGAAGACAATTAATCAATGGAACAGCTTGCCTCCAGAAATTGTGGGTGCTCCCTCACTGGAGGTGTTGAAGAAGAGACTGGACGGCCACCGATCTGAAATGGCATAAGGGTCTCCTGCTTGAGCAGGGGGCTGGTCTAGAAGACCTCCAAGGTCCCCTCCAGCTCTACTCTTGATTCCAAACCCAGCTTTCATCCTTAAGGCTATTAAGCACAAGGCAAAGATCTACCTAAAACCCAAATTCCGGGGATAGGATTGACGGGCTACCTTGAATCGCAGAAGGCCGCCGGGCACAGCCTGAATAGCCGATCATCGCTCCTTAATTTTTCTTGGGGGGGGGAAAGGAGGGGGCTGCGCAGGAGAGCCCGATGACGTCAGAATCCCCGCCTTGCCTGCTGCAATTAGACGCCCCCGGCGCCTGCAGCCGGGGGAGGGGGGAGGGCACGCCCACCGGGGGGGGGCTCCTGGGAAACCCCTCCCTCTTTCGGGGCGGGGGGGGTGCGGAAAGGATCCAATTCGGAGTTATTCCACCGTCGGGGAGGGATTGGGGGGGGGAGCTGAACCCGCAGAGGCTTGCCTGGCCGCGTGGGCGTGTGTCCCCCTCTCTCCCACTTTCTCGCGGGGGCGTGAGAGGAAACCGCGCCACGCGGGTGGAGGGAAGCCTGCAGACCCCACTGTGGGGGGGAAGGGGGAGAGCAGGAAGGGCGTTTTCCCCCACACACACCCGCACTCCCTCCCCGCCGGATAGGCCTCTCCCGGGCCTCGGCGGGAGCCCCCTCACGTCCATGGTCGGCGGAGACCGGAGAGACGGCCGTTCCTCCCTCGCCCGCTGAAGTTTTTCTCCTCCTGTCTTTCCCGAGCGTCCTTCTTGCCTCTCACCTTCTGCTCCTCTGCCGAAGCGGGCTCCAGGTTCTCCGCAGACATGGCGCCCAGACAACCGGGGATGCCAGGAACCACCCCTCCCCGGGCGAGAAAGGCCTACAGCCTGGAAAGCGAAGCTCCAACCACCGCCTGCGGCCGCTGGTATCGTCACCCCCCCCGCCTCAGACACACAGCCCCTCACAAGATGGCCGACGGCGGAGACGGCGAGCCGGCAGGGCCAAACTTCCTCTTTCGGCCCGAAAGAGCAAAATGAGTGCGAGCCACACACCAAGCCAAGAGAAGGCGCGGAGGGCGACTGGCTCCTTGCGCGAGCTTGGCTGTTAGGCTGCGTGCGTCATCGCTCACGTCACTGGGAGTGAATACCGAGGCATTCTGGGAGTTGAAGTTCTGGAGGAGATGCCCTTATTTGTCCCACTGGAGATGTAGAGAGGAGCGTTTAAAGGCTGCGGTAAAGCAGTTGAGACGTTTCAAAGCGCTTTCTCACGAGTAGAGATATTACGGGATTGCAGGCTTGAGCCGTGTCTTTCCGCGATTTCAGAAAGATCTCGTTGGTGTAACAATGGGATCTATGTCTGTGCACTTGGAAATGTTTGAATCTGGAAACTGAGGATGAAAACATGGGAAACAAAGGATAAATTGGATTGCTAACTGACCTTGCTTCTAAATTAACCTAACATTAAGTAATATTTAAAAAGTGACCTTACATTTTAAGGCAATTCTCTCTCTTGCTTACTCATCTGTTAAGACTTTTTTTAAAATGACTGAGTGAATTTTGACCGACAGCAAATTTCTAAGCCATCTTTCTAGTTTCAGTACTCAAAGGGACTGAAGATTGGATCTGAAGCATCTAAATGTTAAGTTTAGATCTGTTTCATATTCAAATGCATGCCAAGAAATTTCAATAATTATTTAATTACTCTAAAGCTCTATCTTAGTAAGAAGGTAAGATTTGTATAGTAAATAAGCCTAATTTCTTTTGTTACATACTTTTTGGAAAAAGATTTTGTATCCAAATAAGCAAGGTGGGGGAACCAAAACTTCCACTGGAACAAAGACAAAGAATCCATCCCAGAGACTCATTTTTATTTTTCAGACCTGCAAAGGAACTAAGTTTGTTGGGGATAAAACACTTTGCTTAACGAAGGGTTTTTTGTTTTTTGTTTTGCTTAACACTGTATTTTGGGATTGAATAACAAAGGAGAAATATAAGCAATATAAGAATGATGCTTCTCTTAAATTCTAATTCTTTCAGATACCACATTAAGAGAATACTCTGAAGCAGTGTTTCTCAACCTAATCTTGCGAAGCTTCTCTGGTAACATTGGTGTTAAGTACTTTGAATATGTTAAGTACCTTGAATCCATGTAGTTTCCACCAAGGTCCTCTGCTACTAACAGGAACTCGTTTAAATCTGATTGGTCAAAGGCCCTGCCAGAGCCCTATAAAAGGGCTGCTGCAGGACAGGACCTTTGCTGGATTGTGGATAGCAGTCACTTGTTACTGAGCCTGCCTCATCCGTTCACCTGATCTAACAATTGTACTGCAAACTAGAGCATACAAAAACCGTTGCATAGCTCGTCTGCCTGGAATCCACACTGTATATCCGATATTAACACAATTGAGGGGTCCAGAGGTATTTCCACTCCTCTGCTCACAACAGGCTCCCTTATGCCATCAGGATTGAAATTTTGGGCTTGGAGAACCTAGAACTATTCTGCCTTCAGTCTGACCTAAGCATAGTACATAAAATTATCCAGTACAACATCTTAAGATGTCAATGACTATTTCAATAATACACAAGCACACAATAGATACAAACGCAAGGTAAACCGCTCCAAACTCGATTGCAGAAAACAGAGTGGCCTGGAATGCACTACCTGACTCCATTGTTACATCCCCAAACCCCCATAATTTCAACCTAAGACTGTCTACTGTTGACCTCACTCCGTTCCTAAGCGGTCTGTAAAAGGGAGTGTGCATAATAATACCAGCGTGCTTACCGTCCCTGTCCTACTGACTCCATTTATTCATTTACTGTGTTCATATTTATGTTTACACGAATAATACCTGTTATCTTTTATATGTTTGACAAACTAAATAAAATAAAATAAACAAACAAACTTTGGCAACTTGGAAGATGTGTGGACTTCAACTCCCAGAATTCCCTA